CCATAAAGGACATCTACAGGAAGCGGTGTCTGAAAAGGGCTGGGAAAATCATAAGACTCCAGCCACCCAGCACAGACTCTTCACCCTCCTGCCCTCTGGGAGGCGCTACAGGAGCCTCCGGACTAAAACCACCAGGTACCGGAAAAGTTTCTTCCCCACAGCTGTCACACTCCTGAACTCTGCCTCCTGACATCCGAACAACAACAACGGTCTGTATTCTCATACACACAACAACAGCACATGGACTGTAACACCACAACCTGCACTTTCGTCCATTAGCCCACTACTGTACGAACTGTACACATAATCTACTATCTACTGTTCATAAGTACTCACATACTTATATATATATATATTTTTTTTTATATAGTTGTTTATACCCCTTCATATTATAACCTGTTCATAGTCTGTACACTCACAAACTGTATATATTTATACCTATATGATATTCAAAGCAACTTATTGTATATTGTACTATATATATCTACCAATTTATTTTTCTTGCTAAGCACTTCTGGATAGATGCAAACTGCATTTCGTTGCTTTGTACCTGTGACATGTGCAATGACAATAAAGTTGAATTCTATTCTAGTCTATTCTATTCTATATATATATATTTTTTTTTTCATCTTTATTTGTGCACAAACTTGTTGACTTGTTTCTCTCTCCCATGGGTTCAGGTTCTGTGTCTCGTGAAAACAAGTCTTGTATAACTAATAGAATCTGCAGCCTCCCACCCCCAGCCAACAGGTCCACAGCTCTCTGGACTTGATTTCTACTTTTATCTGAAGTAATTAATGCTCCAGATTAACACAGCAAAATGAAAGGAATAAGTTCATTGAAGTAACAAAAAAACAAAATAAAATAAAAGTGAAAAATTTTGAAGGAATATACCATTACCAATTCAATTGTTACAAGCAGAGATCAACCCTACATACTTTTGATTGCTAATCCAATTATTTAACCATCGACTCATCACAGCTGTGCACTCCTCAAAACGTGTCACATAAGATCCTACCATGGTAGCGAACATCTTTTCTTTTCCACTCTCTTCCTCAGTTTTCTGTACAGATCCTCTCTGTCTGCTCCAAATGGATTTATGAAGAATATCTCCACTGTTGTGCTCGGCAGGTTTCAGTGCAGCTCTGAGCTCAGTAACATTGAGATTCATATCAATGCTCTAAAACCAGCTGAATGTGTCCACGGGGCAGAAAATGTAATGCCCCAATTTAAACTATTGGACATGCCATTTGCATCACTAGTGGCAAGTTTGGATCCATTTGACAAATGTGGGTCAGTAATAACAGTAAATAATTACAAAACAGAGAATGAATCCCTGAAAATCAGTTAAAATTCCTTTTAAATTTGTCAAAAAATTTGAAGAATTTACAGAACAAAACAATACACAGTAAGCTCAGTAATTAAGTAATTTACATTGTTTATTAGGAGGAACTACTTTGTGGGGCCAATTAATTTTTTTAGGCGGGCTCCTCCCCAACTGCCCCCATGGACCGGCTGCCACAGCATCACACCATCAACTCTACTGCAAACATCAACCATCAACCATCCATAAACATTTCATTAAGACCTCAGGAACTTGTGACAGCATGTTAAAAGGAACACTACGTCTTTTTTAATTACTGTCTCCGTGTTCACACATTCAATCCAACGTTCCTTTGTTCAGTTTGCTCAGCCTATTCATGCTGTTCAGTGTGAAATTCACACACAGTCAGGGTGGTGACCCCAACCTATATTCCACTGATGTTCTGCTGTCACCAACAAGCCCCGTTAGTGCTTTTCATTCATTCAAACACTCCTGGCACGAATGAAATCACTAAAAAATATCTATACTCTAGCTGACTTGAAAAGTTTTCTGTAAAACACTCAGCAGTGCGATCACAAACCAGCAGCAGGAACAGGACACAATATAAAGGGTAATTGTTTGGGCTGAAGTAAAAGTGTGAAGGGTTTTGCTTTCCAACAATGATGCTCAGATTATTACACAAGATAAAATACAGCCAGGATTCCCACAGAGGTGGATTTGTGTCTGACATGTAACAAGAGTCTCGCTCTGGAATATTGTAGCAGGTGTTGCAGAAAGGGACTGCATGAAAATGAGTAAGAACAGGAAGACTCATTGAAGGAAAAGTGGAGTAAGATTACAGAATTCTTTAAAACTCAGATAACATTTGATAACTTTTGTTGGTCTTTGTGAGTGTAGTGTGAGCAACGCTTTGGGACTTTCTTATTTCTCTTTATTTTTAACTGTTTTATAAGTGATAATTAAATAGATTCTAAATAGTTTTGCTATATTTTATTTTTGTATTGGATCGTTTGCATCAGTAAAGATGGAGTGGCAGCATTCGTTTTTGGTAACACCTTTATTACATAGATATTATTGTGACTCCTTTAATTGCTTCTTTTTAAAATAATAGTTTCAGTAAACTGTGTGAATAAACATATTAATAATGAGTTGTGTATCTTTTGCAGTACATTATGACACTATGGCCTGTTTGAATGTGTAATTATTCTTTTTTATTCTAATTAATATTCAGACCTTTTATTTAACCTAGTTTAGGAAATTTAAGTTTCTAGATTGTCTGAAGTTTTTGTTTGTTTGGACACCATGCAGCGAGTCACTTCTCATCAAACCTTACTTTTAGAAAGATTTCAGAAGATGGGCCGTGATTTTCAGATATTTACAGTCATGTTCAAATGGGCCAATTCATCACTATCTTTTTATTTTTTATTTTTTTAAAACACTGCTTCCTGTTAATCATACACTAAGCTGTTTCCTAACAATGTTTTTCCAGCCGGTGTACTTCTTTTTGACTCAGCACCTACCGTCCGTCCACGACCCACCCTCTTTTCTCCTATAACACTTTACATGGAAAGGATTATAAAATGGAAACTATGGTCATGGGCAAGCTCAACGTTACTGTCAAAGTACGTGCATCCCCTCCAAGTTAATGTTTTTTTAACCAAATGGGATGTTTATATATATATATATATATATATACATACAGTAGTTCCTTGATTATCATGGGGGATTTGTACCCTGTAGCTCCGTGATAAGTGAAAAACCACAAAGTAGGAATAGTAGGACAAGTAGTAAGTAGTAGTTTATTTTAGTATATACAGTATATATATGTATACAGTATATATGTTTGGTTTCAAACAACTGCTAAGCTCATGGAAAAAATCAATGCAGACATGTTCCTGGTTGTAGTATTTTATATCACTTTACAGTGTAGATTTTTTTTTATATCATTTTCTTCTATTTATTTTTCAATTCTTATGCTTTTTTTATGATTGTCTACTGTTTTCATCTGTGTTCTTTGTTTAAAACATGTCTCTCTTGTAAATGAGTTCTCGAGTCTCAACGAGACTAACCTGTATAAATAAAGGATGAATGAATGTGAGTGTGTGTGTGTGTGTACATATATATAC